GTCCCTGAACTAAAAAAATCCCTGATTTGGTCCCTACTATTTACCATTTTTACCCCGATTTGGTCATTCCGTTAAAATCTCACTGTTATCTCACGACAATTTAATGACATGGCAAACATTTGAGACATGTCAGTTGTATAAATGAATAAATAATGACATGGCAACGTGACATGTCATGTTTTTGCCCAACCCAACAAAAGTGGAGCCCATCAAAATTACGAATTTCCCATCATCTTCTTTCTCCAACAAACAAACTCAGCACCAAACAAACCCAGCACTTGGGTTGAATCGAACCCAACAATGCCCTTTTTTTCTTCCTTCCTCTTCCTTGCCTTGCTTTCTTCATTATCATCAAACACATCATCATCAAACACCAAACCCACAGTCATCAAACACCAAACCCACAGAAAAAAAAAAATATTTTTTTTACCCTTGGGTTCGAGGAACCCAGGTGTGTTGGGTTCTTCGAACCCACGCCTGGGTTCCGTTGAACCCATGCTTGGGTTCCAAAGAACCCAGCCGCGAACCAGCTGGGTTCGAAGAACCCAGGCGTGGGTTCGAGGGAACCCAGTGCTTGGGTTCCTTTGAACCTAGCGCCTGGGTTCCTTGGAACCCAACCCCTGTTGGGTTCCATGGAACCCACCGCCTGGGTCCCTTGGAACCCAACCCGGGCAAGCGTGCTGGGTTCGCAAGGAACCCAGCGCCTGGGTAGGTTCGAAGGAACCTAGGCCTGTTGGGTTCCGAGGGGAAAGAGAAGGGAAAGGGGAAGGAGAAAGGGAAAGGGAAAGGAGAATGGGGAAAGAAAAAAGGAAAAAGAAAAAAGGAAAAAGAAAAAAATTTTAAATTTTATTTTTCATAATATTTTTTTATATTATTATTTTTTCCACATTATCACTTTTTGGCTATATTATCTTACACGTGGATCACTGCATGACATGTCATTTGGTAACTGTGAAATAACAAGTCACGTCATACAATTTTTAACAAAAGGACTAAATCGGGGTAAAAATGGTAAACAGTATGGACCAAATCAGGAATTTTTTTAGTTCAGGGACCAAATCGAGAATCCGTACAATAGTTCAGGAACCAAAAAGGGGTTTTAACCTTGAATTTATTTTTATAATTTGACCTAATAATATCCACTACCTCTAGCCAAACAAACTAGTATCCGGGTGGAATTTGGGTTTTCAGCTGGTTGAACTGAATTCACACTTGCCATATATATACAATAACGCACATTTATTCTCTTCTCAGATTGGCCAA